CGGTCATCGTCCTGTACAACAATAGGGACTTCAGAAAATGCAGGTCAAAGCTGGCAGTCTAGCGACCTCCGATTACCCAATCCCCCTTCTCATTGCACTGGCGACGATTCTGGAACGACTTCTCCACCCAATTCTGACGTCTGCAGGGAATCTGTCTAGCTACCAACAGTGTCACAGATCGGGTCGTGATACCCCAAGGACACTTTTTGAGCTCAGCGATGCCATCCTCGAGGGCTTCAATCAACAGAAGCCTGCTCTGGGGACCACGGCAGTCTTAATTGACCTGTCACGAGCCTTCGACTGCGTCTTGTGGGACTTGGTCTCCCTGAACATCCCCACTGGTCTGGTCCAATGGTTGGCAGCTTACATCCGTGGCCACCACGATCGTGTCCTTTTCCGCGGCGCTATTTCCAAGCACCGTAAGCGGACCAGCAGCGTTCCTGAAGGCTATGTGCTCAGTTTGATCCCGTTCAACATCTACATGAGGGACCTCCCACTCCCTCCGGCACCGGCGCGGATGATGTCACCTTCATTTGTCAGCACCATTAGATTGATGAGGCTGCACAGGTCCTCTGGGAGTCTATACCTGCTGTCGAGAACTTCTTCACTCAGCGCGGGTCAACGATCTCGGCAGGCAAGTCGTCCGTCACTGTTTCACACTGCACCCGAAATGGTTCAATCGCCACGCGGTCATCAACGTCAACGGTGCGTCTTTACCGCTGGTCCGTAAACCCAAGCAGCTTGGCATCCGTTTCGATCCTCTCTTCACTTTTGCGGACCATGCGATGGAGGTTGCCGCTGCAGTAATGTCCTTAGGGCTCTTGCGGGCACATCCTGGGGCTGCGTGAAAGAGACCTTGGCGACCAGGTTCAGAGCGCTGACCAAACCGCATCTCACCTATGCGGCACCAACCTGGTCTCCCACAGTCAGCTCTTTCAGCCTCCGCCGCAACCCGGTTATCAAATTCACCACCGCTGCCACAACCCCGAACCTAGCCGCAATGTAACACCGTCTCTTAGAGCTCTCCACAAGGAAGCTGTGGCATCATGCCTGTCGGATCTATCCTTTGATGGCCCTGCCATCATGATAGGCCTCCAGCGTCTTCACCAGAGAGCTGTTGTGGATGCAAAACTCCCGGTACTTTTGGGCGGATATCCACCTCCGACTGCGGCCACGGAACGGCTTCTCCCGAGGGTCATTCGCTATACCCTGGCGCAGCTACGCAGTGGCTACCTCATGCTCCTGCGTCAGTACGAACAGCGGCTCGATCCGTCCACCTCCGATAGCTGTTCCGACTGCGGTGTCTCGCAATCAGTATATATTCGCCTGCAGCTCCTGGCCTGGCACCCAACTCACCCCGTGGACCTTAGCTGAGGTCGCTGCTTCTCCCAGTCTCCCAACTGCACGCAGTTTGGACTCCGGCGGGGACTCCTGATCCAACAAGGGCTAATAACCAAACAGTAACCATCACTGAATGGTCGAGAAAATGCGAGGCCGAGGTAACTGAACAGAAGAAGTTAAAACGTTCTCTGGGACCAGGAGTGTATTTGTCCGACGTTTC